TCATACAAAAACAAAAAGGGGGAGATGTGGAGAGTGGGCCCACGTGGGAGTGCCCAAGATGGCCCCCGGGCACCCTGCCAAGCCCCATGACGAGTTAATGGCGCATGTGCAGCAGTGAAGGAAAGCGTGGCTGCTGGCACAAGGGCTCGGGGACAGAGTGTCCCGACCAATCCTGTCTAGCGATCTGGCTCGTGTATCCTATGGAATGTGGTGTGATTGGAGGGAGAAGGGGATAAAAGGGGATGGAACCGGGCAATATAAAAAGAAAAGAGAAGACGTTAGAACCGGCCGTTGGTGGTCGTTTTTACTGTGCTCTGCTGGACAGAGCCCGGGGAAGCGGCACCTGAAGATGTAGATACTTAGGCAATCAGTCCCCGAGGAGCAGCTTGGCTCTTTGGAGCAAAAGTCACAAATGAGTTTGTTCATATCAACAATCTAAAACTCATCTGCAGATCACATCAGCTTGTGCACGAAGGCTATAAGTTTATGTTTGACGAGAAGCTGGTCACAGTGTGGTCTGCTCCTAACTACTACTACCGCTGTGGAAATATTGCTTCCATCATGGTCTTCAAAGATGTCAACACAAGAGAACCAAAGCTATTTCAGGAAGTTCCAGATTCAGAACGTATTATCCCTCCCAGAACAACGATGCCGTATTTCCTTTGAGGTCTTTGCCATCCTGCTGGCCCGATTTTGCCCTCTTACTACCCCAACTTTCTTGTATTACCCTCTACAATATACTTTTTATTGAGCACTTTGCTGCTGAAATGCTGCCTCTTGCCTTTTTTTTTTAATTATCTAAATTTATTGTTTGTTATGGTGTCTATAGCGATGTTTTTCTATCAATTTTGTCACCCATCCCATCCCCAACTTGGACTCGTTTGAGACTTAAGAAATGTCTTAATACTCACATTGTTCTGGGGAGACAGGATGTGTTTCCTTTTTTAAAAAAGCCAATTCAAAATTACACCCTTGCCTTTTTTTTTTAATTATCTAAATTTATTGTTTGTTATGGTGTCTATAGCGATGTTTTTCTATCAATTTTGTCACCCATCCCATCCCCAACTTGGACTCGTTTGAGACTTAAGAAATGTCTTAATACTCACATTGTTCTGGGGAGACAGGATGTGTTTCCTTTTTTAAAAAAGCCAATTCAAAATTACACCGAAATATTTCTCCTTTTGTATCATTCAGCCTTCTGTTTTAGTTTGGTAAGTTTTAAGAAATTTCAGCAGCAAAGTTGTTATTCAGCGGGCACGATGGACTGCAGATGCCTGAGTTATGTACACTTCTCCCAGCTGTGAACGTCATTGTCCTTTGTTGGATGATATTTTAAAAGGTTATAAAACAAATTGGTCTAAAGGGCAAAAAAAAAAAAAAAAAAAAAATAAAAAAGAAACCTCC